GATAAGTAAAAGAAAAAAGTAAAAGGAAACTAAATTTTAAGTCATTACTTCATCGTTTTTCCCATACTTCTCAATGCCATTTCGGGATACGGTTTACGACAATGATTCTGATAAATTGGCCATCGTTGCTGCATAATAATCCAATTCTGGCTAAGTAAATGAGCAGTATAAGCAAAAAATATTGTTATCACGATCATAAATATTATGCCAACAACAAGCCCTGCAAATAAACATTTGTAATGTTCTGCTCTCTTTGTATTTTTTACCAATATTAAATTAAAATTTATTATTGATTAAATTTTCAAAGAGCTATTTTTGTTAGTAATAGTTTTAATTGAAGGTCGCTGAAATTAAAAGAAAATGTAAATTGAAATTCAATTTCAAATTACATCACTTCAAGCAACATGTCATTCTTACAAACATTGAAATGTAGCCATAAATTAATATTCCAAAAAAAAAAATAGACTTAACAGTGTTCGTATTTAAGCTTGAAGTTTATTCTCAACTATCAGTTTTCATTTCTATTTTCATAATTTCAAAAAGTCGGCATAAAAATTTAATGAAATAATTACAAAAGACAAAATCTTTTTCAAAAAAAAAGAAATTAAATATTATTGCAGAAAAAAATTTTCCCTTTTCTTTTTTATGATTATTTACCTGTTTGAAGGAATGCGACAGGCATTGCTACAATTCCACCACCAACTATATCAGCTACGATGAAGAAAGCTGCAACGACCCATCCTAAACCTCGTCCTGACGGTACTCGAATTACCATTGAAATTTGTTGCTATCCGAAAATTGAAGTGTTCTAAAAATTATCCAAATTAAACATTCACACATTTTTGAGAAAAATTAAAATTATTTCTCAACATTTTCAATATTAATATTTATAATGAATGATAGCCATAAATATTGACAATATTTTAAAGAGCATCAAAAACAGTAACGTCAATAATTAATATTATTTAACAAATTTATTTATTAATATGATATAATCACTAACAAATGTAAGTAATTTTGCAAGAATAAACTAAATTATTCATCAAAATTCTTTCTCCACTGAGCAATTACTTTTTCTTTTTAAAATTGACTAATAAAGCTATAATTTTACCTTACTTTTCTAATATATTTGTATATTTCTCTACTTACCCTAACATTTTGAATTTTTTTCAAACCAATTATTATTCAATTTTTATGAAACTTTTTTTTTTGATAGAATATATGGCTGGTTTTCAAATCAAATTATAAAAATGGTATTATTATTTGTTAAATTATCAAATAATCAGGGTTAAAATAAAATGGGAGAAAAAGGAAAATGAAAGAAAAAAAGAAATGCAAAACACTTCGAACTTAAAAATATACCTCAAATAAATATACTTTTTATGATCAACAATGATAATAATAAAATTTTTCAAAAATTTTCTCATCTTTTCTTATACAATCCAAAAAATAAATATTTGTGCGATGGAAAATAATTTTGAAGTCTAATGATTTTTAAAAACCTAAAAAAAATAGCATTAAAATTTCGCATTGCTATCCTACAAACACATTTCAAAGTTGTTTCTACTGGTAACAAACAGCATTCATTTGAAATAAATTCGTTGATATTCAACCAGTTTTGTATGATTTTAATACAAAGCAAGAAATTAGTAAAATGGAAGAACGAAAGGTTAGAGGAAGAGAAAGAGTAGAATGTTTTGAAAATTCTTTTGAAAAAAAGATAATTGTAATTCTTTCTAGAAATAAAAAAGGAGGAAAACTTATCATATTTTATTTGCATCGTGACAAATATTTCTGGAACTATTAAAAAAATACTAATATGTTCGTTTGTTCATTTAATCTATCTTTATATGCGAATAGTGGATGTAAGTATTATATATATATATATACGGAACAATAATAAAAGTATAAAAAAATTTCAAAATGTTCTAAATTTAAATTCTTGAGAAAGAAACATAATCAAAAAAAAAGAAAATTTTCATTGAAACACTTTTTATATTAATTTATTTCGTTAATTTAACATTTACTGACCCACTTCTGGTTAATAATACATCAAAAATATGCGCATGTATGGTAAAATTTAATTGTTAACATTTGAAAAATTTTTATTTTTAGCTAACGATAACATTGATGATGTTACTTGCTAATGAGTATTTAAAATAAAAAATTCCTAAGTCAAAATAGAGCAGCTAATTAATTTTTTCAAAACAAAATTCTTGCTCAAAATGAAGCAATTAACAATTAATTAATAGATCGAAAATCATTATATTTTATCGTTCGTTTGAAATCGGAGATTATATTATTTTATAAAAATATTAAAAAAAAACTTCAAAATTTGTTACCATTCAAAAATTAGAAAAAAATTCTTTTTCTGTTTATCAATGATTATCAACATTTTGACGATGTCGAACAGTAGTAAACAATATTAGAAATAATACTTCCTTCTTCTTCTGTAAATTTCCGAAATATTTTTACAAAATAAAAACAGACATTTTGCATTTGCAAACATATCAATTTTTTTTTTAAAACTAATGGAATTTTATTTAAAAAAAGGAAGAAGAATGAAAGAAGGAAGCAATCATTTTTTATGCAAACGATTTATAACAATGAGTGAATAAATTTGTAAATAGTTTAAATGACAAATGATGAACTTTTCTTATTTTATTACTGTCAGTTGATGGAATGAAACCAATCTATAATGGAATTATAAGGGCAAAAATGTGATTGTGATATTGATAAAAGCCGTAATGAATTAATTGAAATGTATTACATAAATGAAGCTCAAAAAAAGAGATGTAAAACGATTAATGTCAATAAAAATAAAATAATAATTAAAATTACTGAGTAATTATAATCATAAGCATTTGATTAAAATTATCAAATTATACTGTAGATGCTTGATTACAACAATTATAATTATTTCACTTTGAATACTGTATTCTAAAATAATAACTTACATTATAAGCTTTGCAAGATAAATCGTATAAAATTATTAAAAAAAAAAGAAAAATATAAAGGAATTAGCCAAGATTTTACTCGTTAAGTATGAACAAACTAAATATTTTCGGTGGCATAATTTAAAAGAAAACTTACTGTTTTTTTATTTTATGTGATAAAAAAGGTTAAAAAACAAGCAATTTATACTTTACTGAATATATTGATGAATTAAAAATACTTTCTTTTTAGAAAAATTGGTTTTTTCCAATAAGTAATAATGAGAATATTAGCAGTTTATGTATTTGTTTACATCATTATTCGGTAGAAAGTAACACACAGTAATAATTTAAATTCAAAGAATAAAAAATGCATTAATTCAGTTTTGTAATAAACCAAACTTGACATTTGACACGAAGTACTTTATTACTTAGATCGTTCTTTTAGGAAAAGAAAAATTTTAACAAAAGAGAAGAATGAAATGTGAAAAATGGAAAATGTTGTCATCCTTCATTATTGTTAGTGCATTAATTTTATTGGCTGCTGAAAAATTTGAAAATAAAAAAAGAATGGGAAAATAAATTGTTAAAATTATAGCAATAATTACAGGTTTGATTGAATTAATTAAATAATAAAGATAAGATTTGAAAAAAAAACTGTTTTATATTATAATTAGCAATTATTTTTCAATTATATGTGAATTATGAAATTTCATACTTGACCAATCTATTCAATTTTTGTCGTTAAACTTTCAATATGTCCCTCAAAAAATTTCTCATCTTTTATTTTTTTATTTTCTCAAAAGATTTCGGCAATAGCAAAAAAATAGAAAAAAAAGTTCATAAATGCAAAAAAAACAGAAAAATAAGTTAGGTTAAAAATATATTGTGGAAAAAAAAAACTTCAAAAAGTAAAAAATATGCGAATGTATTTTCTTTTCTTTCATCGTTTTCTTTTTTTTTTCAATTTGATTAGTTATCATTTATGATTAAGATTGATTGGCATAGCTTTTTTTTTGATTCAAATGAGAAGAATGAGAGAGAGAAAGAGAGAGAGAGAGA